CCAGCGCTCCAGTATCCGCTATCTCTCCGGCAGGGCGGTTGTTCCATCTTGCCGCAGCAGCGGTGCCCTTGTCGCGAGTAGTTGTGTCGACAACAGAAGGATCCCCCAAATCACAATTCGGGGAAGACGGAATGAATTTGAAAAACTTTACTGAGCTCAAGTAGCTTTATGGTAGCCGCTGCAAGCGCCGCGTACAAAGTTAACCGCTTAGGTACAAAAGTGAGGATGTGTCAATGTGCCGCCAATCAGACGAGGCGGAAGTATCGATTACCTTTGAGCTTACGAGCGTCTCAAGTGGCGAGCGGGTCGATGACGTGGGAAAGGCCTATAACGCGCAGAGTAGATGATTAGGCATGGCTGTAAGCCCCCGCAGAGCGAAGCAGAATAAGTCAGCACAACAGGCTCCCACACGCTCGCTTTGGCTTATGGACTGTAAACTGCATAAAAGACCGGGAAGTATTTCTTCATCTCAATATTGTTGGCATATCCATGGATCTTCGCGGCTTTGTGAGTCAGCTAGTTACTCTAAAAAGCCCTCTGCTGCCATTGTACGAGATGCCAGTATCGGAAATATTCACCTCTAATGATGTGTCTGCCGTTGATGGTGTAAGTCGTGCCGAGCCGGTGTTTTTCGGAGAGAAAAATGTCCCTGAGACTATCGTAAACCAGACAAGCATTCGATTTTCTCTGTCTTGTACCTCATGTAGGCCATTTGTAGTAAACTTATTTCCGACAAAGAAGTGCTTTATTGGTTGAGCTGACAACGGTCAAATTCGCATAAACTAATTAAAAAGTGAACTCTGAGGTATTTGCCTTTTCGCGCGATACTGTTCCTTCTCAAATACCCAGACAATATGTGGTCTTTGAGATGCTTTAAAAAAATCCGACGTTAGTAAGGCTATTTTTTGTTTGACATTAATTCTCCTAAGCATCGGGCAGCAGTGGAGAGTTAAACACGCGCATGGCCTTTCAAAGGCATAAAAATCGATAACAATCAACACGTGACCTTTCAACAGCAAAGAATGCTCATCTCGTGTCCAACTAGTTTCCATTTACCTGAAGTAGTTTATCTTTTCCATTTAGTGGCAACTGGAATAACTTTCACATTTGTTTTAATTATCATATTTTTCGATGATACGATAAATGACTACGTATGGACAACCGTCATTGATCGTTTGGGCCTCCTCCAATTTTGCGCGAAAAGTATGGCCGCAAGCTGTACAGTGGTATCAGTTTGTTGCTTAATGGGCATCCTTGTCTTTACGCCGGCGCTGAAGTCAAAGGCTCAGGATCGGATTATTCACCACGTGCCTGACCGAGAGGTACCTTTGTACCGAAGAAATACTACTTCTCAAACTTTCTCCGAAGACACGTATGCTTCGGACTCCCCAAAGCCTCCGAGAAATTCTATACATGAAGATCGAGAATTCAGTGAAACGGACGCCGGTGATGCTAAGACCTATTCAGGAAACGAATTTCACAAGTTAGTTTACAAGTTCCAAGGTGACAGTTATGTGGATCAAAGCGGATATGAACCCATGAATGCTGGAATTGACTCTTTCGACATGGAGTATTTAGAGATCCAAGATCCAGCCGACTTATCCAATTGTGCAGATAATGCATACAATTCCTTTTGCGCACACCCTACCTCAATTTCTAGCAACACCTATGATGAAACTGAAGCTACAAAGTCGAATGTGACTTCATCGCTCCGCCGAACGGAGCGTCCCTACTACACAGAATTACTTAAACCTTCCCAATCCAGTCGCCTTCGAGCTCCGTTCGAAGCGCTTGATGTTCACGAGAGTCCCTATGTTGTGGTGAACGTCATTCCCGAATGTGAAAGAAAAAATATTCTGCTCAGAAACCGTCCCATCAACATTATTCTTTTGAGCCTAATTTTTGTGGTTCATTCTTTTCCGCTCAGCCTAATGCTACTGGTCTGCACTTACTTGCGTACATGCTGTTTGGGGAGTAGTTCACAGATATCCTCTGCTCTCGTTTACAATACCAGCACCCTGGCAGAGATCATTAAACTTCAATCGAAACACAATTGCAGATTCGACAACCTCACAACAAGTGGCTTATCGACTTCAGGGTCCGGGGGTCTGCAGAACTGCCTTAACATTTATCTGCGTTACATCAAAACTCTGGACATCTTCGCCCAGACTTTATCGCTAACTTTGCTGTTCGTGAGTGCAAGCATCCTACCACACGTCCTTATGCCGTGCGCAAGCCAATGGCGTTCGGTGGGAGTGCAGACCCTACCAAGAGCCCAGTGGTGGTTTGGTGTGGGACAGCCTGCAAACGTTCGGTACGCCAAGATCCAGTGCACTCTCGAGCTGGAGGAACGAATGAGACTGCAAAGTAATTTGTGGATAAAAAGGTACGCACAACTTTTCAGTGAACATGATGATGCCAACTTTGATGACGATTACAGCTAGTGATACGCAAACTGTCTGGTCTGCGCATTTTTATAACACCGACAGCCCGAAATGCTTGATTTGAAGGAGTGGCTCAATCGGAAGTCCAATTTATAATGGAAAAAAGCCATGGTTCTTTTCTGTTGGTAACTATTTGCTTCCTATTTCCCGCAGTTATGCTGCCAATGCTAATGAACTCAGTTAAACCTATCAGAATACATTCTGTCAAGATCCAATAAAATCTCTGAAAATAAAATTTATAGTGTTGGTTTTGGGCTTCCAGCACACGTGATTGCGAAAAGTTTACCAACTGACTGGTCTTCAGTGTCAGACCGACCGTCGATTACGACGATGTCCACCACGAACTTCAGCAGGCTGTAGGCAAACGCGGTGACTCGCACTGGATTGTGGTGTAAGTAGACTCGGGCAGAATCTACCCCATTCTCCCCCCAATCCCCCGCCTGTACCCACTGTCAAGACACAAGTCAAGAAGACCAGGGTTTAAGGAGGGCGCAGGGGGTTAGTGCGGCCGATGTCGCCCCATGCGTGTCACCACGAAGATACTTGCATCCTAATCACATGACCTATCAAAATATTGCGCTTTTTTGGCTGTCATTTTGTCATGAAACTCCCAAGCAAACGTGAAATCAGAGTGTAGGTGTGCTGTAAATGTTCCGTGGGTAATTTCATGGTAAATGCACAGTTACCACTCCCTGGCGTCTTATTTATGTAGCATACATAATTATATAGTCCCTGCTTAATCCAAAGTATTTGAAGCTTCAAAAGAAGAAGAGACGTTTTAGTGGGCGATATTTATCAGGTGCTTGGCGTTTCGGGTAGGGGTTTCTTCTATCCATCTTCAAGGATTGAGAAATCATGTTCACCAATCGTGTTCATGCTTTTTGCCTTGAGCATAGCTTGCCAATATTGGCTTAGGGGCTGCACTGTGACTTGCAGAGC